CTTCAGCTTTGTTGTATTGAAAAATTCCTCTCCTTTTAAAATCTTTTAAACCGTTCAACCTAGCCTTCTTTGTATTTAAAATTAAAACCTCTGGATGGTTTTTATGCACAGTCATTATATGTTTTGACAGAGATGACTTAAATTTTAAACAAAAAATACAGTAACGGTGAATTCTTTTTTTTCTCTAAAATTTCAAAAAAATGCATTTATACTATTGATAAATTGTAATGAAAAATTGCTTTTATACTATATGAGTACGCATTTTCAGATTTTGTAATAAAAACTAACAAATAGAGAAAAAATACTTATGTTTTTAAAATTTAAAATATTTAGAAAGTTTGAAAAGTTTTTACCTTCTTTGTTGTTCTCTCGCTAGCATGTTCAGGTTCATAATCTACCTATTATTGAATGAAAATGATACTCAATATACGCTAAAACATAAGTTTTGAAAACTTTGAGACAATAAACAATTATTGCAAGCATATTTTACAATAACTTTTATGATTATTTTTGTGCCTGCAATCTTTTTTAATACAAAATTTCGGTTGAACTTAAGCTAAAAAGTCAAAAATGTTGAAAATAAAAATGTTACCTCTTTGTCTAATTCAACCGAATGCTAAATAAAAATGAAAAATAAAATAACAAACTATTATGAGGTTTATTTAAAACAATTACAATTAATCTAATGTACAATTTGTAAATAAAATATTTTTCTTATTAAATAGTTTCTAAAAATCTTATTTATTAAAGTTTTCCAAAAATAGTTAAATTCTCAAAATCAATTAAATTCTAAATAAACCTCATTTTCCACATTGTTATCACATTGCAGACCTAATTGAATCCTAAGTTAAATAATATAAATGATATTATTTAATGAATATAATGGAGATGATTATATAAAGCCACATAATCTTTTTTTTTATAAAAGTGAAAAAAATAAATAAAGCAAAGCACACGTTTATGCTTTATAAAGGTGAGTTTCCACTCATCCGTTTTTTATTGGAACGGGAAAAATAATCACTTGAGCATGCGTATTTTTACTTCGGACAAAAAATTTAAATTGGAAAAATATTTTTAATAACTTTTTTATAAAAAAGCTGTAAAAAAAACCAATATAAAGAACACATTATATTATATTATGTAGCAAACATAGGTAAAACATGGTGAACTTACCTCAATATTTAAATCAATTGAACTTTTGTCAATTAAAGAAGATGTGGTTAACAAAGACGTATTTGATGAAAATAAGTCTACATTATTTTGAGCAACTTCAGAAAAACCACCACAATAGCGTTTCTAAATATAAGTAATGATATCTTAATACTTTGATATTAGGGGCTGTTCAAATAATGACAGTCTCCGTAAGCACTGTTTAACTTGTTGCATAAATCACATGGGGAATAGAGGGGGCTTTCTTTATTAAAAACCTATAAAGAAAATCTATATAAAGAACATATTATTTTATATTATGTAGCAAAAAAAGGTAAAACAAGGTGAACTTACCTCAATTTTTAAGTCAATTGAACTTTTGTTAATTGAGGAAGATGTGGTTAACAAAGATGTATTTGATGAAAATAAGTCTACGTTATTTTGAGCAACATCAGAAGAACCAGCACGAGAGCGTTTCTAAATATAAGAAATGACATCTTAATACTTCAATATTAAATGCTGTTCAAATAATGACAGTCTCCGTAAACACTGTTCAATGTGTCGCAAAAATCACATGGAGAAGGGGGTGCTAAGCTAATCAAAAAATTGCCAACTCTGAGGTAAATTAGATTGTTTGTTTAAAAATAATGTCACGTCTCATTTAGGGGAGAAGGAAGGGGTTGAAAAAAATGTCGCAAAATGTTACATGGGTTTCACGCGTTATTTGTACAGCCCCTAAAAATATTGATTAACAATTATAATAAAAAGAAAATAAAAAGTGTACATTTTCGAGTAGTGTGGGCCAGTTAGTGCGGACCAAAGCCAAGAAAAAACATTTGTGCAAAGTAAAAAAGGGAAATAAATCGATTCCCACTAAATTTCGTAAAGGTAATAAAAATTGATATAAAGTATCATTGTTTAATGTCTCGACTTATTTCGCATTCACATAAATTGTTTAAGCCTATGAAACAAATGCAAATATTTGTACTATACGGCGTTCACTGAAGTTTTTGGGCATTCTTAAAAGGCAATAAAAAATAACTGTAAATGACTTGATTTATATTAATAATATAATACTATATAAATGACTCACAGGAAATAATTTGAAGGATATTGGAGGACGTCTTATCTAATACCTAATAGTAAAGGTTAACAGCAACAAAATTATTAAAAACTGAAAGTTACTGATGCATAAAAACTAATTGCCATACACACACATTAAACTGTTTTGTACAAAAAGTCTGAACAAAAAAACAATCTTAATTCAAACAAAATAAAAATGATACCTAATAAAATTAATTTAAAATTGAAGAGTAAGAAAGCTGATAGTTAAAATATGCAAAATGGCGTTTTAAAACACGTCATATTTATGAATGATCGCATAAATAACGTTTTAAATATTATTTAATGTTTATTTAACTTTATATTTCTTCTAATCAGAGGCAATTCTACAAATGAAATGAGGGGAAGGGGTGAACCCTTAAAATTTACCGACTAGCTACAAAAAAAAAAAAAAAAAAAAGTCCTTAAAACAGAAATTTAACCGACTAGCGACTAAATTTGTAAAAAAACCGACTATAACTTGAAAATCATCATCTTGGGGGAAGGGGGGAGGCGGTAAATGTTGCGGGTAAGGGAGTGTATACCCCCTCCTCCAAAAAGTCGCCCCTGCCTCTAATAAACATATCTTCATCATTATGAAAATAATTTAGCATGTACTGTTGACAATGATTTTTTGGTATTTTGGTACAAAAATACCAAAAAAATAAGTCTATCTCTTTACTCTATCCCACTGTGCATTGAGGCAGAATAGCTTCAAAAATTGTAAAAAGCTTTTTTTTTAGTTTTACACTTTTCAGTTATATAGTTATTCTAACTAACTAATTATACTAAAATAATCAATTTAGTAAAACAAAATTTAGTAATTTGATTTTAATGTAAAAAAGTAAGTTTGATTAATTTATTAACATTTAAATTTGCTTTACTATGCAACAGATAGTTAATAAAACAAAGAATAATAAAAAAATGTTACGTCACAAACAAATATACATAAAATACTTCACTTTTATCCTTTTTCTGGATAAAAATAAAATATTCAATTCAGTTTTTATTTTAGATGCCCCAAAAAGTCCTTACACTCTTATTGCAAAGCACCACGGAAAAGCATTCAATAGGAACTTTAAGTCTCCTTCTTTATCGATCTTGAAAAACTTTTTAGGTCGGTTTGAACCACAAATTCTTTGGCATATTTGGGCATATTTATTTCATTTAATCAATAATTTATATATTTCTAAATATCTTTTGAAAAAAAAAAAATTTTTTTTAATTAATAACATAGACAATAGGCCCACAAAATTTAATTTTTCATTTTACCTGTTCCTCATTTATTATTGAATCTAAATTATAAAACTTACGTATATTTACACTTTAAGTATTATGTTAATTATGATAACATGGACAATTTTTTAAAGTTTATATATTTTTTCCTATAAATTTGCATATAGTCCCAAAAAGAAAAATTAATAAATAAATAGGTGATAATAAAATAAAAATAAGACAATAAAATACATAAAAATAAATGTTTATATTGGAAACATGTATTTTTATATAACTGATCTTCTTTTTATGGAGAACATTCAATACTATTTTTTTACTATTTGTCATATTTTTGGGCTATATTTTATAAATATCAAGAAACATTTTTTGATATTGCTTACCCCCCCCCCCCTCCTCCTTTTTTTTAAGTCTCATATTTAATGGACCTTTTTTTGAAAATCTTTTTTTTTATAAGTCGGACAAACGTTATTATAAGATTTTGTGAGTAAATTCGGATATATACAATTAATCGCGATGCTCTGTGATAAGACCGTTAGGTCTTCTTGGGACACCTAAATAACAATAAAAAAAAAGCAAAAAAGGCATGATTGGTCTCACAAATTTGCTAAAAACATATTGGCCATCGTCTAAATTTTATACCCATAAAATTATTTTTTTTTTACCATTAATATTACAAAGAAAAAACCTTTGTTTCTTTATATTTATAAAAGTGTATTCTTCAGTAACTTTACTCAAAATTATATAATATTTTGCCGAAATATTTTATAAATTGTAAAGACATTCATTTCATAATTAACAAGACACTTTCTTCATAATTGGATACAGCTTTTAAAACAATTGCTTTTGTATCAATATTTTTGGTGTCATTCCAGGAATTATAACATTTAATATTTCTAATCCTATATGCCTAAGATCTTCGTCCAAATATATTCCAAAATCTAAAAAGAATAAATATACCGTATAAAAATTTAGTTATACATAATAAATAATTTATACATTTAAACGTGATGGAAGTTCGACTTCCATCACGCCACTAAAAGTACCGCGCTTAACTTGCTCGTAAGGATATGTGTTACGGAGGTAAAGAGTCGAAAGAAGGTTGTTACAACAATTTAAAAGAATAAATAAAAAGTCCTCGGATGAAACGTCCCCTCGGCAGTGCCGGATTAAGGTCGCCTGGGGCCTTTAGGCATATTATGTTTAGAGCCCCCTTATAAAAAAATTTATTAATTTTTTAAAAATATTTTAAAATTTTGGGGCCTCTTCTACACCGGGGCCCATAGGGACGTGCCTAGTGTGTCTAGTGGGTAATCCGCCACTGTCCCTAGGCCTTGGCTGAGTAATAGTAATAGGCGAGTAAGAGAATTTTTTTTTAATATTAATTAAAAAATAATAATACATCAGTAAAATACACAAAATATCTCAAAAGTAATTATATAAAAAATTATCTACAAATTATGTAGACACATCTAAGAACTGTTTACTAAAAAACTTTTAGTAAAAAGTTTTTTCAAGACTTTAGGTAATAATATGTACAACTGGGTTTTCGCAGTTCAATAAAGAATTTTAATAAATGATTAAAGTAATATTAAAATAGAATCCTTACCTTTTAATAAATCAGCGCATTCATTATTAAATTCTTTAATTTCGTTCCAAATAGTGGCCATTTCAATAAACAGTTTAAACAACTCATAGAAAATTGAATAACTCTGAACATAATTCTGAAAGGTAATTCTTTTTATACCATTTTGAAGTAGTTAATTAAATAATTAACTTAAATAAAGTAAAAATCAATTAATTACTTTTTCAAATAATGTCACAATTCAAAACGTTTTTTCTTAATGTCTGGATAGATAATTCTAATTGTTTGGTAATATAATATTTATTTCAATTGTAAAAATTTGAGGCAACTACTTATAATGGAAAAAAAAAAAACACAGAAAAAAAAAATCATAAATTGATAAAATTTTGAAACCGGCCTATTTTTTCAAGAGGAGGGTGACAGACACCATACTCCCCTCCCCCTCCCAAACTATCGGCCTGGTATTAGGGCCGCAACTTGCGGTAAGCCCTATACAAGTTTTTAATTATATACCCTCTCTAACAATGGTATACAAGTTTTAACTTTTGCACTTTATGGGGCTATCTTTTAAAAAAGCATTATGATTGTTAGTGT